GGGGGGGGGGGAGGGAATGCTCTAACATATGGTTTTCCCAAGACAAGCTGAACTCTGACACACACATTCTCTGCATTTCATATATTGGCTTCTCAAGCCACAGAATGTCCTGACTTCAGAGTTCAAATCAGTGTTTTTATGTCTTACTATCCAACCATATTCAAAAATTAGACACCTGGTATCTAAAGCTAGTCGGTATGCCTGCAGTTAGCCATGCACTCCCATGAACTGCTGGGTAGAATGGCATCCCCCAAAATGAATGGCACAGTCGAAGCCCTCTTTAAAACTCTGTTTTGTCCCACTCCTTTAATTCATCCAATTAAGTCCAAGTAATTTTGTCTCCAAGATGACTGGTGGGATGATCTGCTGCACAACACTGTGTGTAGTCACATCCATCCACACAAAGCAGTTGCCAGGTTGGTGCAGATTGCTGCCTTATCAGCATGGTTGCATTTTATACGCAGCCATACTTGTCCCTCCACTGTGGTTGTGAGTGGGGCAGTTTGATCACTGACAGGGGCCACAAAAGGCCATGCAGAAAACCAGAAGCCTTCAGTCATTGCCAGCCTTGGGGATGCTGACCAGCTACATGGAGGGACCATTTCTACACACTTTCCTTTGACCCTGCGCTCACCCGTGACAGCAAGGTTTAGCCCATCCCTGTGTCCTGAGCTCTGCTGGTTCATGCCTAATGCCTGAGCTTCTGGAGTCAATGTGACCAATGCAGTGATTCTTGCCCGAGTCTGCAGAGAGCTGGAAGCGACAGGTGGTGGTGGATGGATCATACTCGACTTGGGGGGAGGTGGGTAGTGGAGTCCCCCAGGGCTCGGTCCTGGGGCCTGCGCTGTTCAATTTCTTCATCAGCGATCTTGATGTTGGGGTGGAAAGCAACCTGTTTAAATTCGCTGATGACACCAAAATTTGGGGGGAGGTGAGCACGCTAGCAGGGAGAGAGAGATTGCAGAAGGATCTGGATAGGTTACAGGGGTGGGCAAACAGGAACAGGATGCGTTTCAATACGGACAAGTGCAGGGTGCTGCACTTGGGTAGTAGGAACCAGCAGCACACTTATACGATGGGGAACTCCCTACTTGAGAGCACGGAGGCGGAAAGGGATCTTGGTGTCATTATTGACTCCAAGATGAACATGGGCCGACAATGCGAGGTCATGGTTGGCAGGGCTAACCGGACCTTGTCGTGCATCCACAGGTGCATCTCGAGTAGAGCCAGGGAGGTGATCCTCCCCCTCTATGCGACGCTGGTCAGGCCGCAGCTGGAGTATTGTGTCCAGTTCTGTGCGCCCCATTTCAGGAGGGATGTGGACAACATGGAGAGGGTCCAGAGGAGGGCCACCCGCATGATCAGGGGGCAGCAGGGCAGACCCTACAGTGAGAGACTGCGGGACCTGAACCTATTCAGCCTCCACAAGAGAAGGCTGAGGGGGGACCTGGTGACCGTCTATAAACTCACTAGGGGGAACCAGAAGGGTTTGGGGGAGACGCTGTTTCCCCTAGCCCCCGCTGGCATAACAAGGAGTAATGGGCACAAGTTGATGGAGAGGAGGTACAGATTGGACATCTGAAAAAACTACTTCACAGTTAAGGCGGCTAGGAGCTGGAACCAACTTCCAAGGGAGGTGGTGCTGGCCCCTACCCTGGGGATCTTTAAGAAGAGGCTGGATACCTACCTGGCTGGACTCATTTGAGTCCCGTTTTTTGTTTTTAGGGTTCTTTTGTTGTTCTCCCGCCCTGGCGGGGGGGCGGGCTAGAAGATCTATTAGGTCCCTTCCGACCCTAAAACTATGAAACTATGACAACTCTTATGTAGCAACTAGCTCTTGTCTCTCTACGAGGCACCAATTCCAAGACCAGCTGCTGGGGAGCCCTGCCAACCTCACTCTAATGAGTGGGAGATCACAGAAAGCTCAACACAACCCCCTGCACAAATGGAGGTTGCTAAGCTAAGCACTGGATGCTCCCTTGCTGCCTCTGCAGCCACTCCTGGACCCCCATGCCATTGCCAGTCCAGCTGGGACACAGGATCATACCATAAAGCCACTTAGTGAGGGCCCATATTGTGGCTTGTTTTGGGCTCCAAGCTTTGTAGCTCTTCTGCTGTTAGCTGGAGAGATGCCCAGTGCACTCGGTGACTGCTTTAAAAAGTGCCTACAGAGGCACAGGAGGAGCTCCTGCTGCCTTATACGTAAGAAGCACAAAGGATTTAAGGGAGAGAAAAAATAAACAGCTCAACACACCTCCATCCCACCAGCTGAATGTGCCAACTTCTGGACTTCTGCCCTTTGCGAGGAGGAGCTGGACAGTGACACCCTTAAACAGGCAGTGAGGGTTCATCGATGAAGGGCTCAAGCGTGGTAGAAGCCCCTGAAATATGCTCTGACCTGGCCTGGCCTCTGCTGTTGTATCTCGTAGGATTGCCGGGCTCTCTGCAATTACCATCTAGCTTTTAAAATGAATCTAATCACGAACAAAACAAAATAGCAGCTACAAATTCAAGGGAAAAGACATGATGAACGGCAGTATGTATTTTACATGATAGTAAATGGGCTTTGCATATGCAAATTGAATGGATTTTAAAATGGTATTTAATGACAATTTTCGTAGCAGACATTAACATTAATTGCATCAAAATGAAAATGCAGCATTAGCTTGCTGTTAGCAGCAAATGCCCCAGCTATAAAGCTTTATCTTTATCAGCACCAGCCTTTACTGATGTGACAGGGCTGCTCTGCAAATTGCAGGCAAAAGGGCTTTTATGCTGCACAAGTATCCCCCAACGCAGGCCAAAATCAACATCAATTTTGCTTTATTTCTTCATAAACGGAGGTTAAATGCCTGCCGGAGAGAGATCTAGGCACATTCCCAAAGTTTCACTGAAAATCTGCAGACCCCACCATGGCTGCAGATGAGGGGGGAAGAGAGCTTTTAATTTAAAGTTATTATAGCCCATCTTGCCCGTTCTTTACCTGCCACCTTTTATGCAGACTGATGGCATTTATCCCCTGTTCTTTAAAAGCACATTATAAACCAAATCAAATTACTGGGGCTACTGAGGAGTTGTTACAGCCATTTTGGCAAAAAGTGAGGAATTTAACTCACTTCAAGACTGGTAAAGTAATGACCCCATCAGCATGGGCAAAAGGCTGATTCTTTCCCACTTCACAAGCAGGCATGCAAAAGGGTTGGAACCAGTTTGCATCTGACAGCCTTCCTTTATTCTGGGGTTGGAAATCACCAGTTAGCAGCCTTCTGCTTGAGTGGAGTACAGCTTGAAAAGATGATGTGAACCCTCAGTTTTATTGGTAGTCTCTGCTGATGTTTAGAGTTGCAATTCTTCCTTGACGAGAGGCATGTCCCATGCATGAGACAGAAGACTTTAAGCAGATCCAGAATTCACACGGGCTGCACTTCAGACGTATTGGGGATCTCTGGACCTTGCACGAGATATGGGCAGAGAGCGCCCGGGACCTGTCTGGAAGCAGATGTCAGGCAGCCAAAACTCTGCTGTTAAAAGGCTGTTAATTATTGATACATTTAGCGTAACTTCTGTTTGAGGACTCTAACCTCCCTCCTAACGCATCTCAGTTGTTGCTGCCGATCACTGGGACAGCGCGCTCAATTAAGATGTTTGGGGGCACAAGGGGCGAGATAATCGCAACATATGGTGCCCTGCATCGATTCCAGGCCCTGGGAACTCAGACTCTGCTTTGATGAACATCTTATTCAAATGCAGCTACATTTTTTCATGGACTCTGTTAGACTGGAAATGGCGTCACATCTCCTCAGGCATCACGCAGAAGGTGCAACCCGGGAGAAGTGGGGACAGCCTGAGCCTTGTGAATACTGGACCAAGGCAGGGGCCCTACCTGCGCTGCCTGAAGGTTGCACGGCAGCCCAGGATCCTGCAGATGCTTAGACCAACACAGCTACAACCTACACCCCTGCAGATGCTAGGAGCACTTGAGGGCTACAAGGGAGAGGCAAAGGGCCGGCTATGCTCCTGCACCCGTGTAAATCCCCTGTGGATCTGTTGCATCTGCTTAAAGCCTTCTGCATGGCACAGCCCTCTCATCTAGGAGGAATGGCAACTGTTGTGGCCCCGGTACCCCACCAAACTTGCCCTCTGGCTTCTTCGTTCCTCTTTCAGAAGAGTAACAGTGGGCGTTGTAAGGGCAAAACATGGTGGTAGCAGTTGTGCTGTCGGGGGAATAGGTTGTTACAGTATAGCTGCCAACGGGTAATGCATAGAGACCTTTTCAAGACAGAGGCCTTTCTGCGCGGCCTCCAACATTTCAGACACCAGAACCCCCCCTTTCTCTCCTCCCACCCCCCCTGCACCTGACACAGCCCTGCATGTCTCCTACCACCACCAATGTCAGGAATTCTCCAAGGGCGCCCGCTGCAGACTCTCCTACTGTTTAGGATGACCCAGAATAGAAACAAATATGGAAATAATGCCTCCGCTGCTATTAATCACGTCCCAGTCTGGACGCTCTCCACAGCAAGGCAGCTCTCTTAGGCTTTTAAGCGTGTCGCTCGCCTGTTTGCAGCGGATGCATATTGCGCAGCCCATTTTATAGGCATGGTGCCGTGAACAGGAGAGGTAGGCCAAGGCGGTACAGCCCGTTTGTTCCATAGGATACTTACCTTGGAAGGTCACGAGGACTGATTAGTCTTACGACCAGCTTCTTGGGCAGATGATCCGCTCTGCTTTTTGCTGATGCCATCCCTCCCCCCGTCCAGAGCAATGTTTTCTATAAACCATGTGGCCAGCTTTGTTGTAAGAGTCATAAAAAGGACATTTTTCATCTCTCCTTTTTCCTGCTCTCGTGCGCGCTCTCTCTCTCTC